GGGGGGTTACCATATATATATACATATACACAGATAGATAGATAGATAGATAGATAGATAGATAGAGGGAACTAACTGTACAGCTTGGAGGCTTAGGGTTCAGGGTACATGCATGTCGACACAGGAGGCGGTCGAAAGGCAGCCCACGGCTGCCAACAGCCCCACGCTCCACAGATAAACCCGAAACATAATCCCGAAACTCTGCACCTGCCAAGGAGAAGGGCGGCCTCCACCTGCAAGAGTTCGGCCCGGTGATCCTGGCGTCAGGCGCGTGGGTTTGCGGGCCCAAAGCTTTAAAATCTTAGGGTTTGAGGTTCGAGGGTTTACGGACTTTAGGGTTTAGGTTGTGGGTTCAGATGGCTTTAGGATGTAGGGTTTTGGACTTTGAGTTTGTATAATCACAATTCTGCATTCTCATACGGATGCATGCACCTGGCTATCATCTTTCTATCTACCAGGTTCTGATCTTCGGAGGCTGAAATGATTTCGGGTTGAGGGGGCCGATATGAAGAATTCTTTTTTTCGCTTGGTCTTGGGTTCGGCAGAGTGCACTGGATATATTGCAGCTGAAGCACAGACGCAATGCCCGAAGACCTCAAAACAGTAAGTGGACGTATTGGGGCCTCGTCTTGTCCAAGACCGCAGCCTTGTAACTGAACAGAAGTCTCTGACTGGCCGGTTCTACTCCGTTCGAGAGTCGGAGGAGGGTGTCATGAATATACCATGGTGGGCTACCCGGTACCTTAGTCAGAAATCCCAAAGGGCGAGGGCCGGCCCAGGCCTCCAGGTTTAAGGTTGGAAGTTTTGCGCTTAGAGTTTTGGGTCTTTTAGCGTTTTGGGATCAGGGTCTTGGGGTTTAGGGTGCAAACTAGTCAAGAGCTTTAAGGCTTCCGGGTCTCCGGGTGTAGGACTTGGGGTTCACGGTTTAGCAGAACTAACTGCTCCGGATTCCCTGCCCAGAAGAACAGGAGCACCCCCTCTACAGACACTGAAGTTCTGAACCTTCCTGGCGCCTAAAGCACCCTGAGCGCGGTTTCTAAGGCGGCTTTGGAGCCGACTTTACCCAGGTGGGGGCATGTACGATTTGGCATGTAGGGTTTTGGGCCTAGGGGTTTCCGTGTCGGGTTTGAGGGGCTTTAGGGTCTTTTTAAGGGCTTGGGGTTTTCATGATTTGGGGTATGGTCCGTGGAAGGACTTCTAGGGTCTGGGCTTAAGGTGTAGACTTGGAGGTTTCGACGTTGGGTTTGGGGTTTTACTGTCAACCAGCTGTGACTCCAACTTCTGCCCTAGAGGGGACCCTGCCAGCAATACCTGCTGAACAAAAGCTGTCGTTCTTCTCCGGTTTTGTGAAATTTCAGAGGTGAGTCCTCGGGCTGGGCTGGATTTCGTGGGTTTGGGGCCCCCGAAACCCCAAGCGCTCGACCCTCGAACAGAGCTGGGGGACTGCAGCTGTACGGCCAGTTTTGAGATTACTTTGCAGTGTTTGGATGGGGTAGCACCCGGCAGCACGGCATCTGTCCCAAACCCTGGGTGCCCTACAGTAAAACCTAGACAGTTATTGGCAACCCTGTCAACAAACAACATGTGAGACCGGGGTTGAGGTTCTGCTAGGTCTAGTTTCTAGACAGCACCGATGCTTCGGGCCCCAGGAAAGATCCCCCAAAACCAAACTCTGTTCCCAATCTTGAACCCTGTCATAGAACCGTATAGACCCCAAGCCCTGAAGAGAGCTCTGGATGCAAGCCCTCAACCCATGCAGGACTCATTGCTGGCCAAGTATCGGCCGGATCTCCTGCATCTGTGTCCTGACCCGATTTAGGGTTTAGGGTTATCAGTTTGTGTTTATCCCTAATCCTTTAGGGTTTTGGAGTTTGGGTTGTCGCTTAGGGTCTGGGGTTTTGGAGTTGGGAGGGGGGTGAAGGGGTGATGGGGTTGAGGGGGGAGGGGGGGTGAAGGGGTGATGGGGTTGAGGGTTTGTTCAGGGTTCAGGGGTTTTGCTTTAGAGTCGGAGTTGGGGGGTCTAGGGTTTGGACAAGAGCACTTTCAGTTTCATCATTGCTAGAATCGTCATCGTCATCGGGACTGTACTGACTATCTTTGCTGCTGCTGCTGCTGCTGCTGGTGGCGGCGGCGGGGGTGGTGGTGGTGGTGGTGGTGGTGGTGGTGGTGGGTGGTGGTGGTGGTGGTGGTGGTGGCGTCGCCTGTTTATTCATGCATAGCTGCTGTATCAATGTTGTTTGAAAGATCCTGACGCCATCCGTTGATCGTCCCTTCCCAGCGGCTGGAATAGCAAGCTGCAGCACTACAGCGTGCTGTCGTGGTCAATGTTACTCTTCGATACAGGCATTATGCAAGAGCTGCAAAATCTCAGCCCGTGAACACTGCATCACCCAAACCCTAAAGTTCCTAAAGTCCAACAAACCCTTAAGCCACGCACCCTAACTGGACCTCTGCAATACCTGTGTTTCTCTAGGCTTTTCTGGCCCAGACGAGAAGAGCTCATAACTCCCAAAACGTGGCTTCTGTAGGGTACAGGTGGAAAACTCCCGATGCTACGCCCTGCAGCTCGGAAGCCTGGAAGTCCCTGCAAGGTAAAAGGTGAGCACTTACGCCCTAATCCTGCATCGGGCTAAGGTTAGGTCCTTACAGTTTGTGGACCTTCAACGATCAAGACTAGATCCTAGCCTTCGTGCCCTGCTCCTTTTCCGATACTCGAAACTGTAAGAACATGAACATGCCAGAAACCGCAACCCCTAGCCCTACACTTCGAACGCTTAACAAAGCTCCTTGGATGCCCGAGGCCCACCACCAACGGTGAGCACTGCACCGGCGATGGCATCAAGATGGGCGAGGCTTGAACGGGGTGAGATTGAAGATCCTGCGCAGGGTTTAAGTTTAGGTTGAGATCAGGGTAGAAAGGAGCTTGGTGGGTTGATTGGCGTCTGCAGGCTTGTTGTGGGGTGGGGGAGGCTTCAGGGATCATGAGCGGGGTTGAGGTTGCCGAACTAAACTAACCCGTAAGCTCTAGCCCAAACCCTCAACCCAGAACTTTAACCCTCAACCCATGGGAACTGCAAAGTGACAAAGATCTGGAAGAAGTGCGAAGTGAGGGGACTCTGCGGGCTGACAGTCCGATTCGGTTTGGGGCGAGGTATAGGGTGTGGCGTTGGTCATGTGGTTTACCTCGTACATCCTACGCCCAACCACCTTGAAAATCCGAACTCCCACTCTAAAGCGCCCGAAAGCCAAACACCCGAAAGCCCTCGCCATCGAAAGGCCTGAGGCCTTGAAACTTCAACGACTTCACACCCTGGTATTGAGGTCTCAATAAATTTGCAATATTAACTAGTATGCCTTTGAGAAGGCCCTTTGCAGTTATTTCACGCTCCCAAACACTATTCTGATCTTTAAGGCGCCGATATCAGATCACTCCCAAAAATGCCAACAATCAAAGGCCCTAAATTCCAACACAGAAGGCCAAACGACCCCAATTCGCAAAGCGCGATGCCTTAACCCCGACACCCTCAACAAACCTTCTGAAGCTTTACAAAACCCTGCACGGCCACGGATGTGAATCCCAATCGGGAAACCCACAGGCCCGGACAAGGGACGCGAAGAAAGACCCCAAGTCGATTGATCCCAACAGAGAAGGCCCCTCGAAGATCCTTACTGGCTCGTCGAGGCCATTGGTGCAAAGACGATCGACCTCGAGTGGGTTCAGGTGCGCCGTCTGGATGTGAAGAAACGGGTCCTTTCGTGACTAGAACGGCTTCTTTTTGCATTGTCCCCTTTCTGTCTCTTGGTCTCTAGGCCCTCTAGGCCCTGAACCCTGAACGCTCGTGAACTGTCTTTCTTGGCTTGGGGATCTTTGCCTTGGAGGGTTCGTCGAGTGGGACCCAAGCTCCTTCCAAAACGAAGCCTCAGGTGCACCCGACGGGCCTGGTGAAGCCGGACGATGCTGATGCGAAGATCAAGTTCCTGGCTGCCGAGGTGATGTTTGGTTGAGGATTGAGGGTTTAGGGGTTGATACAGTGTTGACGGTTTCTGGTTGGTTTCGGATTTGAGGTTTAGGTTCCTGCTTTCTTCAGCGCATTTCAGGGTTATGCAGCTGCATAGGACCAATGAAGTGTCGATGGTAGGTAGCTGTACAAGTTGTAGAAAGCTGGGTCGGAATTACAATGCATATGTAATACAATCGGCTCGAAAAAGACAACGCATCGCGAGGAACTCTCGAGGAACTCTCTTCCACACCATGCGCAGACCAAGCAAGACTCCTTGCAACAAGTTGTGACGTCACCAACTGGCGGTGCAAAAAGAACGCCTTCTTTTGCAATTCCTACGTGTAATTAGGTTTGCGTGGGCTACAGAAGCCTTGAGCTGCTCATCCCAGTCCATACCAGAGGTCAGTCTTAAAGCCGCATCAAACTTTTGATGCACTGCAAAACGGTTGCTTCAACTTGCTCTTCTTGTCAGCGGTCCTTCTAGTTGCATGCCCAGAAGGGGCCCCAGCCCTCAAACCCGCATCCCCAAGCTCTAAACTGAAGCCCCGAAACCGCGACTCTTTCGTTCATTTACTTCAAGCCCTGAGCCCGTAGAACCCTGCATGCTTAAGCACTAAGTCTTGAATCCTTGAAGGCTTCCTGAGCGATACCCTGAATCCTTACCCCTTAAAACCTAAACCACTTATCATGAAGCCCCTCGGCCCACTCCAAATCCTAAGCCCTAAACCCTGAGCCACTAAACTAGAAAGCCACCAAAACCCGTAAGCTCAAGTTCACAAACTCCGAGGCTAAGCCCGAATGCTTCAGGCACGACGCCCGAACACCCTCAAACCCTAAGAACCTTCACCCTTCACCCCCTGAAATTCCTGACCCGAAGGCCCTGCGAGGCGTGGGCGGCATCATCCTCAACGCCGAGAGCTCAGAAGGGAATTCAGCGCGAGGTAGACGATCAAGACACTACCGTGTACACAGCTCATTCATGACGGTTGATGATGTTGGTGATGGCTCAGAGATGGCGCTGAAGATGATGACGGTGATGTCGACTGGTTGACTACATTGATTCATTGACTGATTGATGGCTTGACGCATGATGCTGGTGGTGATGATAGGCAACCTCCTAACTTCATGAATCCGAAACCGGAAGCCCTCCATCCGCTAGAAAAGTATTCCACTCCCTCTGTGTTCCAGCAGCCACATGAGATGCCGAAAGCCGCCAGTATCCCCCATAGGGCTCGGGAATCGCCCACTTCCTTAGAACAGCCTTCAGCCGCGAAACCGGTTCAAGCAAAGCCCGAGACAAGCTCGACGAGGCAGAGGGCGACCGATTCTGCAACGAGCTGGGACGTTGGGGCCTCATGCGGAGGGTTTTCCGGCTTTCTATTGGGGTTATGTACCTTTGAGGTGCAACGAAGAGTTCCGAAAAACTCGGGCGGGGATGCTCAACCAGGGATCCTTCAATGTGAGGGGGAATGGAGTCGCTGAGTAGCTTTTTCCCCCATGTACTTGAGTTTATAGGGCTGGTGTGCCAGCACAAAAGCCTTAATCTAAAACTTAGCCACGACCTAACAAATCAATTCGAAACTTGAGCTTGAAAACGGGGATTAATTATAGTGAGTGGGTTTACGGTGTAGGGTTTCGTGTTTAGGCGTTAGTCTCATTTGAATTTAGTGTTCAGGGGTGTAATAGTGACCAACTTATGGTCTTCATCAGCTATCAGGCTGGCCCGGTTTCGTAGCTGTCATACGGAGCGAACTAGCAACCGGGACTCCAACTGTCTCCACACCCTAGACCCTGGACCTAGGCCTTAGACCATTATTCACCAGACCAAGACCTTGAATTCATCTGTAAACCCCAAACCAAAGCCCAGTTCCAGAACTGCGGGCCTGAGATAGGTCCGAGGGTCAAAGGGTGGGGGGAGCGGCGGCATGGGTTTTGTGGATGGAGGGATCCTCTGCCACATGGGTTGGGGGTTTCAGGCTAAGGGCTGGGTCGAGACAGTAAGTGGCGACTAGGAGTTGCAGGGTTCGTTGCTTTCTCACGAGGCCGCGACTATGTCACGGGCGAGATGTGGAAGAGCAAGCCACCGTTCAGGTGGGCCAAACAGCTCCAGATTGGGTCGGGTTGAGGCCTAGAATTGCGGAAATTTCGCTTTTCCACCTTTGCGATTCGGCGAACATCTTACTTGGAGGTGTAGCAGTGTAGCACGAATGAGGACTTTGTCGCCCCAATCCATGATTCTGCTATGCTTTACTGCTGCTCTTGTCGTTCAACCCAGGACATTTTCCCGAACCCTAACAAGCTAAGCCCCTGCAGTTGAAAGTCATGCAACCAACCCGGAGATACCTTAGTTGCTAAATCCTACACCCCGGCGCACAAAACCCCTTAACCGCAAAGCCTACACTCTGGATCCTAGTGTTGAAAACGGCGCAAGTTCAATGTAAGCCTGGCGTCGCAAATCGCAGCCGCAAGTTGCCTCCCCGCAAGCTCCCGATCATTGGACTGTTGCAGAGAGCCGCGCGATGCCAGGCTCTGCCTCAACCGCGCTGCATCAGACGAGATCATCTGGCACTGCAAGTCCTCCACTCAGTGTGGCCTTTGGGCCACTTCAAACCGTTTTAGAGGTACCCTTGGCATTCGGGCCTGGATTCGGTGGTACCAACCCCAAACCCATGACCCCTGCGAGCCGTTCATCCGGTCGGAGTGTTCTTGCTAACTTGCGTTGCTTCGGGAGCTTGAGGAGGACCCCGACTGATGACCCTCAAACCGCCAACCCTGAAGCTTCAAGACTTAAAGCCTTAAACCCACAACGCTTGCGCTTCATCCTGAACCCTGGAGCAGTAAACCCTACGTCCGATGTGGCGCCCGCGCAAGCAAACTAATGCCCCCTAATCTCAGCCCGGCAGTTCTGCACCCTGGTTTAGAACAAGTCCCCGGCCGAAACGGGACTAGTCTGATGCTGGTCGCGTCCGGGACACCTTATAAAGTTCTTTATGGTACGATAGCAGTTCATATTCAATTCATGGAAAACCTTGGGAGACCTTAGGTTACCGTCCAGTCGAGATTGGAGCCCTCAGCTCTAGGGCCCGAAGAGTCTGTCTGTCATTCGTGGCTAGGCTGTTGAGGATGGATTTTAGGCCCAGGGGTTCAGGTCTGGGCGACACGGGCTTTTAGGCTTTCAGGTTTGGTTTAGAGTCCTTCCGCGTCCCAGTGTAGGATTGAGTTTTGGAGTCTAGACTCTGGTGCGTTGGGATGTCGGGTCGCTTGCCAGGCACTACACGGGACGTGGTGCTTGGATCTCAGACCAAGTCTTTTTCTGTCATTGTAGTACGTATCCCTGTTTGCAAGACTTGCTTTCATGTCCTGAAGATGCCGGAGGCCAAGAGGAAATTAGAAGCAGGGATCATGGCAGCCCAAGCAGGATCGGAGGGCCGTTAATGTTTCAGGCCCTGCATTTCGAGCTGTCCACTGGTCAGAACTTCCGTCTCTTGTAAGCCTAGGCCACGATAGTCTCAACTCCGGAGTTGCTTCAGGTCATGAAGTACTACAACAGCGGTGATGACTTGGCCAAGGACATGGGCGTCTCCCTGTCCGTGATCGAGAAGGCTCACGAGGACCACTACCAGGCTGCCAAGATGATGGAGAAGG